CACCCACATGCACACACATAAAAAATCCCCAAACACTCCCCACCCACTAAAAATCCCCCACTAAGAATACAAACATCTACACCGCAGGCTAAGTAACACTGTCCAACTATTCTCTACTGGTGGTCTTTAAGCTCATTATTAAGTGCAATTATAGCTCTGGGATAAAAACTATTCAGAAAACATGTGGTCCAAATCTTAATTGTTCTATATCTAAACCTGCAACACTCTCCTCCACCACCATCTTTCAAATGAATGGATCATCTTCCTGTCAGCCTTCTCTCCTCCTGTTCAGCTTTCACATAGCTCTTGATCCAATTTTTGATCAGGAATAGAAGTATATGGATGATCTTAGCCTTATTTTTTTAAAATTCATCTAAAATATTTTTATCCCATTTTACTCCTTAAAAGGACTCCAGGTGGCCTCGGTCTACAGTGACACCTTCTTACACTTGATGACCTTTTCTTCTCCCTTCATTGCTGTGCTGTATTGCCTAGTCTTTGTCTTCTTCTGATGTCTTGGCTGAGCTCTCCATTTGGAGGGAACCAAGGTATACAAAAATCTCTGTTTCCTATTTCTTCACTGCCAACATTCAAGTTGTGTACTTTTTCTGTAGTCATGATTTTTGCCTTCTTGATGTTCAACTGCAGTCTTGCTCTGGCACTTTTTCCTTTCACTTTCACCAGAAGTCATTTCAAGTCATTGCTGATTTCAGCCAATAAGATGGAATGTCATCTGCATACCTTAATGTTTTTAATGTTTCTTCCACCCATTTTCACTCTCCTTCAACTTAATCAAATCCAGATTTCTGCATAATATGTTCTGTGTACAGATGGAAGAGACAGGGAGACAAACAGCACCCTTGTCTGACGTCTTTGCCTACAGAAAACCATTATGTTGTAGCTTCCATAGCAGGAAAGCGAGAGCTCAAGCATCCCTGATTAGGGAGGCCCCTCCAAACTCTGCTTAAAAATCTCTAGTGAAAGAGGGCCCATCCCCTCCCACAGTCAAACAGCCTTTATTTTCAGGACGTGCCTCCTAAGGCTTTGGCGGAATCTCTTTTCTTGCCATTGTGAACTCACTACTTTGGGCCTTACCTTCTGCCACTGCAGAAAACAAGCTCACCCCATCTTTCACATGACAGCCTTTCAAATACTTGAAGACAGCTGTCAAAGCACTTCTCCATCCTCTCTTCTCCAAGCTAAACATACAGTACCTAGTTCCCTCAGCCATTCCTTACAGGCCTTGGTTTCCAGAGCCTTTACCATTCTGATCAACTCCTCTAATTGCTGCTCTGCAATGCAACCTGTCCTAATGCAGGGCATGTTTATACTGGCCAGCAGGAGCTGGGCTGGCTGGTTAGCCTGCCTGAGCATCATCATCATTCCTTCGAGCTGGGCAAAGGCAGGGGGGAGGGAAGGGACCGGGCAGGCTGGAACAATTTCTTGGCTCACATCATGGTGGCAGTGGTCTTTCCTTCCCGTTGGTGTCTCGGTCCAAGCATGCCCTCTGGAGCAGCAGCTGCCCGAAAGGATTCTTCCTGCTCTTCCTGCACAGAGGGGCCAACACAGCCCTGCTACTCCATTCGGGGAGCGAGAGAGGGGTGTCAGCTTCTGCCCTCGCTCCAGGCAGCCCCTCAGGGAGACGACGCACCCAAGGCACAACGGAAGGCTCAGGAAGAGAAAGGGAGCAGCAGAGGCCTTGTGGCAAAAAGTCCAGGGGGCTTCCTGCTGATTTCCTTCATTACATGAGACACTCAAAACAAAGGCGCCCGCTTTTTCTAGAGGGCTCCAAAGTCAGTCTTCAAAGAGAAAGAGAGAGCCATGCTCCTGTAACGAGAGCAAAACTAAAAGAAAAACTGTTGTGGTGTCTTAGGAGACCGGAATATTTGCTTCCTATGGCAGGCACATCGGAAGAAAGCTGGCGGTAATCCACAAACGATCACACCAGTATGGATTTGCTTTGAATCAAATTGATTTTTTGACTATTTAAATCAAACCAATAGATTTTTTGACATGAATCATGATTTAAATCAATTTGATTTTTTAAAAATCATTGATTTTTACCCGCCCTGGTTCACACTGAAATAAATCTGTGAGTCTTTAAGGGACCCTAATACTTGTTCTTATGTTTGTTTTCCTGCTGCCAGCCTCACCGAGAGGCCAAGGTCACCTGAAAAACCCATCCCGGTGCTGCTTCTGTGGACAAAGCTGCCCTCCCACGGCTGTCCTCCACCTTCACAGATGAAGCTGCCGGGACAGTCGCCCTGCATGGCGGCAACGCAACGGCCCCCAACGTCTCCCCCAGGGGGTCCCCTTGGACCCCAGCGAGTGGCCTGGGGCTGCCAAGGCCTCCTCCTTTCTTCCAGGAGAGGAACGCTCCGAGTCCAAGCCGCAGAGTCCACTCCTTGTACAGAGGAAAGGCTCCATGGCTTCTTCCGAACTGTGTGACAGCAGGGGCTCTGCCTCACATCTGTGCGGCACTCTGTGCGTGCACACGCACGCACGCACACACGCGCACACACAAAGACGGCACTCTGCCCTTTGTTCAGAGCCAGGGCATGTGAGCACAAAAGCCTCTGCCCGGAGGCTCAGAGCTCTCTCTGCACAAACACAGCCCTGCCAACTCTCAACGTCTGCCCGTCCATTTTAGCATGACAGATAGCTGGCAATTTGCAGCCCTTCCGCCTCTTTCCGCCAGCAGTCAAGGCAGCTCGGAGATTTGATAGAATTGTTGTGAGCACAAAAAAAACAAAAAACAAAAAAACACCTCCAAGGCAGGAGGAGGACTGGGAGGCAAGGGGCTGTCGCAAGGAACACCGAGACCACACCGCCGAGAGGTTCTGAGTGTGGGTTAAAAGCAGACTTCGCCCTCGTGGCTGCCTTTAAAATGTGAATTCTGGCAGGCAGCAAGGAATCTAAAGCACACCAATTCTTACCGGCACTCAGAGAAAACAAGCCCCACTAGAGAGAAAGAGGGAAAGAACGAGGGAGAATCCATGCAGCGCCCACCAGATAAAAGTGCTGGCCTCTGCCTGCAAGCCAAGAGAGGACACGCCAGGTAGGAGTAAGGGGGAAAAGGAAGTTCCCAGAGGCAAAGCCTGGCCTCCTCAGGCACCTCTGCCAGGGAAAAGGCTCTCCTGGGCAAGCCCACGCTTGCACTTTGGCTTACAGGAAAGAGACAGCCCTGTAGATATATCCCAGTGGGGGCGTAGCGGGCAGAGCGCAGACGAGGATGCTGAAGGCCTGGGTCTGAGTCACCATCCAGCCATGGAAACTCACTGGAGGTAAGTGGAACCGATAAAACCCCTCCTTAAATACCTAACTTATCTTGAAGGCACGAGAGCCAGTGCGCTGTAATAGTAAGACTGCTGGGGTAGAGCTCAGAGGACCTGGGTTCAAATCCCGTGACTATTTTACGTGCCTTGAAAACCCTATTGGGGTTCCTGTGATGAACAGAAAGTGACCTGATGGCATGTTAAAAACAAACAATTGTCCCAATGCCCCTCCCACTACATTTGGATGGAGAGCAGGGACTGGATGCAGCCGCAGCAATGGCAGTGGACAATATGGCAAAGGCGGCATTAGGATTTTAAAAAAAAACCTGTGCAAGGCTCTCTGGCACCAATTCATCCCTTTCAGGAGCTTCTATGCAATGGCTCCCGTCTCCCTGGCCCCAGCAGTCTGGTTCAGGCTACAGAAGGTTGCATCAGAAACCCAGAGGAGGAAACGAAAACAAAGGAGCCCAACAAAGTCCCCCTTCTGCCATTAGGGCTATGGGGTGAGTGGGGTGGGGTAGGGAGAGAAGAAGGCCCTAAGAAAGGAAGAGCCACAAAACTGAAATTGCAGCCTGGTGTCACACAGCCAAGGCTGCTTCTCTTCTGCAGCCTGCAACCTCGGACAGCTCTCTGCCAAAACGCAAACAAAATGTTTGTGCTCAGCAGGCGAGTTGAGTTGCCACTCACACAGATGTTCACGCACGGTCTTCCTCCACAGCCAATGAACCAAGCGGCAGTACGGCACCGCGTGCACGCAGAACACAAAGGCAGTCCTGGGAACCAATATACAAAACACCCAACACTTCACGCTAACATGCCCAGTGGGAAGATGGCTAAAAGAAAACACTGAGGATGTTCCCCATCTTCTCAGCACCAGAGAGATGTGCTGCTCTCCCTCCTGCTTTGTTGATCCAGGAGGCTGATGAGGAATTTTGTGGGACTTGAAACAACAGCCTGAACCATAATGTGTAACCTTCTGACTGGTCTAACGAAGGTACAAATCTACCATGAACTCCTTGTGTAGGAACCAATGACAGATGAGGGTTAGCTCAGGACAACCCACAAATACAAAGGATACTGATGAGGAAACTTTCAAAAGTTTAAACAATACAGAACGTTCAGCTTTCTAAAACTGGAGAAAAGAAAGTCAACAAGTGAATGCCAACCAACACTTTCCCAAGGACTCTCAATGTTTGCCTCCAAACATGGGACCCTGCCCTACAAGAACTCCCACCAGAGACCTCCATTGGGGCAGAATTACTAGCATCCGTGAAGCCTCCCAGTGCAGAAGGAAGAACAGCCCTCACGGGGCATTTTCTCATCTACCGCATGTCCTTGCTCCAGCAGTAAGTCAACCCAGGAGCTCCACAAGCACAACAGCAGCATCAACACATCATGACAATGACGACAACCACCCCCACCCCCGTGGTGGGGGGCAGCACTTGGCTCCAGAGGCGGGCTTTCCTACACAGCCTGTCCCTGCTTCTCCTAAGAGAGAGAGAGAGGCAGCGCTCTTGCATGTGTGCACGTAGGCCCGCCCCATCGGCGCTTCCCAAACGGTGACCCTCACGGTGACCCTTTCGCCCAGCACATCCTCCAAGGGAGATGACTTAATCCAACCCCACTGGTATTAAGGCTATTAATACCAGTCCCGCTTGCACAGTAATGCCGCTCATTCAGTCAGAGGTGCCCAAGATTGGCTAGAAGAGAACTCTTCAGACCCACCTTGCATCCAAATATTAAGGAGACCGCGTTGTTGCTACAGGCGACTTTACAGTGGCACAGCATTGGAGAAAAGCAATCCAAGTTTTTAATGCCAGGAGACATCTTTTCAGGCCCAGGAGACTTCATTCGGTTGAGAAAGACGCATTGAGAGGAGATACCCCACCCTGGGCGCTGACATCCCAGTCCAGAGAAAGAAGCCAAGACAGAAAGGTAAGACCCGGTTTCCCATCATATTAACATCCACACGGCACGTAGGATGCAACTAAATAAAGCAGTGCATTCCTCTGCAAGATGCTGGCCCCTTCTTGAGTCATAGCAACTGCCTCAGACGAAGAAGACTCCACTGCCTCGCCTCCCTTCTGAAATCTTGTTGGTCAAAATTCCCGGGGGGGGCGGGAGGCAGGGGGCAGACAAAGGCACCAGTAGCAGCAGCAACAGCAGCTCCTCCTGCAACAGAGTAAGCACAGCACCCTCCTCCATGAGGGGAAAACTAGCGGATCCAGCCAGAAACACTTCGGGTGCTCCCAGTGCCAGATGCCAAACAGGAGGAGGGGCAAAGCACGACAGTCGCCAGCCCAGAGCACGGCATGATGCACGCATGGACACAACCCACAGTCAAGAGAGAGAGACCGAGGCAGGAGGAAGCGCGCGTGCGCGTGCACGTGCACAGAGCCATCCATCCAGGCATTTCTTCCTCTGCACAAAGGCCTTCACAAATGACACCTCTTTTCCTGACACGGACAAATCAGAGTCCAAGCCCATGGAACGGAGGGAGAAAGGCAAGAGGCCAAGACATCTTCTGAGCTCACCTACAGTTTGGGCCACCTGGAGATGGAGAACTACCATGGGAAACAGCCAGCCCTTTTTTTCTAGTCCATTTCACCAAATATCAGCCAAAGGGTTATTTCCAGAACATGACAGAGTGGGTTTATCTGAGCTGTCTCTGGAACAGTTGTGAGGCGGCACAAACAAGAGTTGTTGTAATGCCTTAAGTGTCAGGCAGACCATTATTGGTGTAACCATCTGGATTTGTTTATAGCCCATTAAAGCTAAAAACGACAATATCCTCACACACAGAAACAGAACTCAATAAGGAACTAATCATCTGGGTATTTCCCTTAGAAGACATTCAAGGTTTTCAGCTTCCACCTCCCCAAAAAATGTCTCCATCCCAGCGACTAGAACTGTTCCAGTTTGGCATGTCTCAGACTGTGCCACCCAGCCAAAGAAATGGGAGTGGGCAGGGGGTGCCAATCAACCGGACCACAAATAGTGTTGGCCATCAATAACCTATGAGAATCAACACCACACATTGTCACCTACAGTTCCCAATTAAAATACTGCAAAAGACAATTCATGGTCTCCAGTCCATCCTGGAGAGTGGCACTTCCTTCTGCCAGACCTCGGGGGGAGGAAGCCTGCAGTTGCTTCAAAGAAAACCCCACCTCACCCAGCTACCAACAGACCAGATGCAGAAACTGGGAAATGGTAGCAAATCTGGATGGCCACCCTGTCCCCATACCTAGTCTGGCTCTATTGCTGCAGGATTCCCTACAAGGCCCAGCACTCATACCATGGATGCCTGCCTGCCTGCCTGCCCATTTCCCCCCGCAGGGCGATACAGTATTTGCCAGGCATGCCCTCCTGCATTCTGCACCTGACAAACAAGCTACTCTCAAGGCAAAAGGGAAAGAGAGGGAGAGACACCATCCGGACTCCTGAAACCTTAGAGGCTCCTCAGATGCAACACAACACCCCTTCGAGAGCAGTTGCACTCAGAGCCAGAGGAGGTATGATGACGCACAGCCATGGGAAGGAGAGAATGAGAAAAGCCTCAGAAAAGGCCACAGTCAAAGCGCATGGAGCTCAACCCAATTTTATTCCCAGTCAGAGCAGCACACCCACTGAAATGGGCAAGCACGGATTGTTTCTTTCGCAGGGGGAGGGGGACGGGGGGAGGACTGCCACAGCTGGAGAAGGCAATACAACAACTCGTTAAAAAGTAGCAAACATTGGTCCAATTACCAAACTACGCTCTTGTGAACAGGAATCTGTCAAAGAACCACCAGCACGGTCCGTACGGTCTGCCTATCATTTCCTCCTGACCGCACTGTTTATGATTCCCATTTTCACTCCTAATCATATGCATGACGTTTTAGGGTCAGGCAAGTGATGGGAGAATAGGGAGCATCCCCCCCCCCGTTGTCGGAAAACACGACTGGCCTGCAGGAAGCGGCAGAAGGGCAGCAGAGGGCAGCACTGCTCCGCAATGGCTCAGCCCACCCAAGGAACAGATCCTCCAGAGCCTGGGCGGTTCATTCTGCTTCTTCCCGCCCCCCCCCCGCCACGCTATCTCAACGCAGG